TTAAATGGGATATCAGGCTTAGGTTTAGAAAAGATTAAGTTACGCTTTAAGCAAAGGACAATTTAGGGTTAAGTTAACCGAATAAAGGTGACATTTGGTTTGGTTCGAGTTAGATTACAGTTAGTTCTGGGATATTTTCGCGTTGGAGTTAGGTTTAGAAAAGATTACGGTTATTGTTGGGGTTAGAAGAACTAAATAACTGCGTGTATGGAATGTGGTTGTGCACTGTGGTAAAGTAAAATTCCATTTCGGGATGAAATTTATTTTGATAAAATCTCACAGTGTTATACAGTAGTATTTACTGATGACAAGGTTTTGAGCACAATTTATTGCTCAGTGAATATTACTGTTTAACTCTATGAGACTTTATCCACAATGGAATTATACCCTGATGATGCTCCAACCTAAATCTGAAAGCTATTTTTATCACATGTGAGAGGATGGTATCCTCTGTAACACTTTTCTTCAGTTTTTATGCATTTGTTTCATAAATATATGTATCTCATACACAAAAATGCCTCCTTCACATGATTGGTGCGTTCAAAGTTATTCGCTAATTGGTAGTTAGTGGTGCTTAAAGTTTGACTTTGCCACATTTAGAGGGAAAAGGATAAGAGGTTTATCGAAGCTTTTTTTCCTTCCTCCCTAATATCTTGATGGGTATTTCGCATGATTTGAAAGAGTTCAAGGATCCCTTAATAGTGAAGGAAGCTGGTGGATTGTTCGAATCACTGGATGACCAAAACTTTCATCCATCAAAATACACAAACTCTTCTGCAATTCTCCTTGTTTTAATCATGCAATTATATCAAATTATCACTACATAAACTCTCGAGCATATTTAATTAGCTTCCCATTAAAAACTGTGCAATTCTCGGAGAAAATATAATAAAAAATGTACAGCATTGGTTCTCTCGTCATATGCAACAAAGCTACGTCAAATGATACACTTCAAATTATTAGTTTACACGTAATGAAAAGTAAATGGTTTGAAACTAAATACGCTGAAAATATCTGTACTATGTGTTCACATATCGTCTGAATTGAAGCTTTATTATTATGTTGATTCAATGGGTTTCTGTTGCACTTTGTAAAACTTGCTGAAGTAAATTGCTTATAACTGCTAATTTTATTCTCACCAGTGTGATGTTAATCAGTGTTTTCTCAGCGTATGTCCAATCCATTTCCATTTCGTTCTGTATGTTTCTTGGGCAGTAAGTTCTTGAATGGTTCACTGCTTGCTAGAGGTTTTTCTTACTAATTCTTCCTGGCCGGCTGTATAATCTGCGGTATTTAGTGTAGCTATATGTTGGTGAAGGCCTACAGCAAACTGCTAGAAATGCTTTTGGCGACATACCATATCACTCAGACTACATTCATGTTGAAAATTCGGACCTCGTTCTTTATGCTGAGTGCAGTATATTTCCACGCAAGATTCAGGGTAATAAAGACCTCGGATCCTTCTTTTGATATCCTCATCTGTGCCGCCTGTATTTGAAATGATAATTCCTCTGGGAGTGAGAGCTGGTTTCTTTCAAACCTCTTTCGTTTTTGGGGTAAATGGTGCTTGAGAAGATCTGATTGCCCTAGTAGTATACTGCTTACACTGTAATTCCAATGGCTGTTTTCATCTCATTCGGATTTTACGCTCTGTCTTTCGAACAGTTTCAAACTGAATGAAGACAGCTAGTTAATACTCTTGAATTCTCGACGCTTCTTGTATATTATGTCAGTATTTGATGATATCTACCTCAAAAGACCTCCGATGGGGAAATAATATCAAAAGTCTATTCTCACCTGCAAGTTACTATTTATTCAAAACATGGAAAAACTGTGGGAAAAAGTACTGTTTAGGGAATTCACAAATTTTTGTAAAACTTCATATCTAAATACTTTACAAACATGACTGTTTATTTAATTGAATTTAGATTTTCCCGTCGATTGATTGAACTGAAGTGCTCGGTCTCAGGTTGATATATCCGTTTCTCGTGCAGATGCTTTGATGACATCTGATCAAGTAACTTGAAGTAAATTGGAAGGTGGTGGCTAGCAGTGGGATCCACGACACGTATTTCGTCCCACTTGAGACTCCTCGTTTGGATGTATCTGCATTCTCCAGTGAGGGATGGTGTTCTTCCCCAAATGTTCAAACCCAGTACCCATAATCTCAAACGCCAAAGCGTTATCCACCAGACCACTTAGACGATGAGATGCATCTCTTGTGCAATTTCTTGTGGATATGTATGCTAGTTTTTAAGATTAACATGCATAAAAATCCACTGACACCGCAACAGTAAATAAGTATCACTTTAAAAAAATGTGTTCGATGAGGGGTTCCTTTCTTTATTCCTCACATTTTTAGTGAAATACAGGGGGTTGAGTCTCTAATGATTTTGTAGAGCTGTGTTTCTGAAACGGAGTGAAGTTTCTGACTCCACCAACCTCCTTTCTCCCCGGGGCCTAACGCTGGAAGGCTGAGTCTCAGGGTGCGTCTACCGGGAATAAAACCCACACGTTTCATTTGGCTGGCTATCATTCTGCCACTGAAAGCTGACACACTACAAGTTCTATATGAATAATGATCTTGCTCAGGTGAAAACGTTCTAATTTTTCATACGTGCCACCAAATTATATTCACCTCTCCAGATTTCGTTGAAACTTATTTTCTGTGACTTTTAATTGTTACAGCGATTCTAATGGGAGTGAGATATTTTAAAGTTAAAAAGTATTAGTTTTTGTGGGGATTTTGTTTGATTGGTTGGAGGATTTCATCAAGATCTGACATCGGATCGAGAACCGTTGGAAAACCCTAGAGTACTGGACATCTGTTTCGTTCTAGTTTGTAACTTTTCGTCAGCACGCATCCACCAGTGTTCGAATACAGAACCGTCTGGTTACAAAGTGAGCTCTTTGAATTATGTTAGCTCACGATAAAATCTTCCATCCAATCAAAAAAAATTCCCTAAAAAACCAATACTTGAAAATTGATCTTACGGTCACTAGAGACTGGCCCCATTCATCAGTGACCTGGGGTTCTAGTATGAAGCCGTGATCAGTAGGGTACAGCAGGTTAATGGTGAGGATAGCTGCTCATCGCAGAATATATTGCGAAGTGGTCGCAATTCATCGTGAATTGGCAGGAGTTAGAACTCATGGGATAACCAGTGGATTCAGTTCTAGTGGCTAAATGGTCTATGAACTCAGTGAACTTTTAACCAGAAGTTCCTGGGTTGGATCCCTGGCAGTGGGTGCATACTGATGAAGAGTCACAAACTAGGCTATCGAAACAGCTGTCCAGTACTCCCAGCTGGTTTTCTAATGGTTCTCTCATGATGAAATCCTCCATCCAATTTTGAAGTTTGATGAACGAAGACGTATACAAATGGCATGATATTAAAACAGAATTTTACTGTTTTTTGGTTGTTGTCTAAGTTTACTACAGTGTACTTCATGGCAAGATAATGTAGCCAACTGATCACTTGGAAATATTCCCTCACACTGAGATAGACACAGAAGTCAGGTTTAACTGCAACAACCGCGACAAAAGCAATACTTATCTTTCACAATAAGGAGTTTATATATCGTTAACAAATCAACGGAAATTCGAAGCATAAACAGGTAATCAATGTCTGATTAATTGCATGACCATGAGGATTCTCCAAAATAATTCAGTCAAAAGCTGTCCAATCAAGGTATCATATCAGTGCATGCAACAATTATAACTTTAAAGCTAACACAGACAATAAATCCGTCCTAATACTTCCACCCTCCTTTAAACAGATTTTCACTTGAATCACCACTGGAAGATATCTGTAGGTTTGGGTACTCTTTGTCTGTAACGTCAAAATCTCAAAATAGAGTGGAATCTCTCCTTGGTGAACGTCTGACTTTACCAGAAAAAATGATTAAATCGTCACATTGTTCCTTGATCAGAATTAAACGTTTGAAGGGATATTGAATACTGATGCATTTTCCTAAAATATTTATGAAGAATTTGCATCGTTTCATCAAAATCGGTAATGTCACGAAAGGTATCTCCCAAATGGATAGTTTACCAGTCTTTTCAATCGCTACGATTGATAAGGTAGCATAAATCGTCAAAATTCTTTGAAATTTAACGAACATCACAAGAGATTTCACCAAGTTCAAAATATCTCCAGAAGCAATTTTAGCAACAGGGTGTGTAGTGGGAACTTGAGCGAATTCCCCTTCTGCATTGGTATAGGAAACGCCGGAGTGAAAATCTTTAGGCTTGAACTAATCATTTCTCTTGGTTTTGCACAAATATTACCTTAACTATATTTTGATGCATTATTGAAACCGAGATTATTCAGCTAAAAATTAACATCAATTTTCTTGGATTCATTGAAACCATACTGTGCAATTAATGCGTCTACTAATAAATTGTTCTGTACTGAGTTCAACTCCCAGAGGGGATATAAGTTCCGTCAAAGTTATAGACACGTCTTGCTGTTCTGTGAGTTTGTTGAATGTTCTACTCCTGGTCGGCTCACTAGACTTCAATTCGATGGTAGTAAAGAGGGAACGTTAAGCATGAGGCCAGCCTTCTCATTCCATAAAAAAAGAATAACAATATTGCTACTAAAACTTCAAAGCTTGAAGTCCTACAGTTTAACTGAGAACGCAAAGGAATAAAATAATAGTAGTGTTGCTTAGTTGGATTTATTTGGTGAATGGTTTGATTTGAGCTTGATTCCTTCTTCATGATTCAATGATCAGTCATTTTTGTCAACCAGTCGGCCTCCTACATCAAATAATTTAGCGGGAACGCTGTTTAGATGCAGGTTTGGGTTCAAATTGCCTATGTGATATCCATTCCTCTAATGCTGCGGATAAGCTCTGCTGAAGTGTTTTAACGGACAAAAAACCTGGTTCAAGAGTCTCCTTTCAAATGTATCCAACCATCTTACATCTAGTATCATCATTTTTCAAACATTAATTCATCATATAACTTTTGTCTTTTCTTTTTTGTATTTTAGGTTTATGCCGTTGATAATGGTCAACCAAGTTTAACAGGTTCTACACATGTAGAAGTCGCACTAATCGATATCAACGATTGTAGACCAATATTTACACAGATTAATTATCATTTTTCTATCGACGAGGAGTTGGAAGTCAATGCCTCTGAACCAATTGTAATTGGTCAAGTAAAAGCTACAGACTGTGATATTGGCTTAAATGCACATTTGGTGTATTCACTAGACCCTGCAAGTTATTCAGCTGATAATCCCTTTCAGGTTAGTGATTATTTTTCAATATTCTGTTTTAAAATTCTATAAAAGCTCAAAAATAACGCAATTTAAACATAATCCCACAAAAATTTACAAAAGGATAAAGGAAGGGTATGACTCAAGTATGAATATCAATATGATGTTCACAGTTTGGAGAAAAAGGTTCAGAATAAAACAGTATTTGGTTCCTTCAGAAGTTGAGTAATTACCATTTCTTAATATCCTGAATACCACAGTCGAGAAACTCATAGTTTGCATTGTAATTCATTAGCTTTGTAGCTTTGTGGCTTACCTTTCTATTTTAATATAGAATTATGACCATTATTTTGGGTTCCGAGCGGAACGTAAGATTTAGTAGGACATGGTGGTTACACCTTTCTCTAAAGTCTTCCTTAGCTGACTCCACGATGGCCTTAACATTCCCATCTCCTCTTCACATGACCTCCTCTGCATAACACTCGGACCCACATCTAACACGTCTAATTCCATCCCGTCTCCGTTTGAGGGTTTGCCTGGCGCATTATGCTACTCAACTGTCTTTCCAGTGCGTGTACGATTCGCCTTCGTTTTCTTGACAGTGGGTTTACATTGGGTTCTTGGTTGTTTTGTTGTTGCTAATTCTTTCCAACCGGCCATCTGATCTTTAATACAGACGAAACCAGCTGTTGATAAAGTCTAAGTAAGGCTGTTGAAAATGCTTTTGGATTTGCGCATGTCACATCACTGAACCACATAGAAGAACTGACCTGAAATTAATGTTTAAGATTTGAATCTTGTATATTATGTTGGGTACAGTAGATTTCAGCACTAATTTCAGAGTAGTGAAAGTCAGTCTTGCCTTCCTATCCTGACTTTGACATATTCATCTGTTCTGCTCTTAACTGAGATAAGCTAATCGCCAGAAATCCTCGTTGCTTATCCTTCTGATCAACTATTCAATCTTCGGTGATGAGGTAAGGTAGCTATTAACAATAATATGCCTCAGGCTGTTAAAAATGCTCTCAAAACACCTGCAATATGTCTGCTAACCATATAAAAGCAGTAATTTTACACTAATGCTAAAAGTTCAGATCTTGTTCATCATATTGAATGTGTTAGGCTTCCACAATGATTTCAGAGTAATGAAGGACATTCTTGCCTTATCTATCCTGTCTAGTCTTGATATCCTATTCCGATTACTCACCTGTAGTTGAAACAATACTGTCTACGTAAGTGGATGTTCTTGTTGTTGTTGTTGTTGGTTTGGTAACTTCATCATCTCTTCTTCTATATGTTCCCTGGAAGTCCTGTCTTCACTGCCCACTTCCTCTGTCAAATCGCTGGCAGTATAAATTCCAATCAGAGAATAAGTAGGCCAATTGTCTCATAAGCTGCATCGAAGAAGCTAACCATTACATAGTAAAAGTTCGCGTCATTAATAGATTCAGCTAAGAATGCACTATCATGAGGATGTGTGTTTTCTAGTCTAAAAATAATTTCAAAATCTTACTCACATGGTATTTCCTCCCGTCAGATTTCCCACATGATTAATTATTTGAGCAAACTGGATTCTCAGCTTTTAATGGCTGTCAGATGGAAGTTGAAAATCGGTCATCCTCGCTCGCCAACCTTCCTGTAATGAATTAGTAGATGACTTCAGAAACTTCAACAGTTATTGTGTTTTTCAAGCTAATCAAACCGGCATTACTCAGGGCCGCATTTATTAGAGTTTATTGTATTAGAACTTAAAATGTTGCAAAACTAAAAAGTAATAATACCTGCGTTTTATAAAACACTCACTTCCCGTTTACAACCCATCGTACGGCTTGAAACGGTTAGATAAGTTTTTTATTCACAGTAATGTTTATATTCTACTTGTATTACAGGTAACTGAGGATGGTCATATAACTGCATTAAAATCTATTGATCGTGAAGTGCATCCAGCTTTCTTACTTCAAGTGATAGCTACTGATTCACCACAGAAACCAACAGAAAAGCTCACAGCAACAGCTCAAATTCATATTACCATTTTAGATAATAATGATAATGAACCAGTATTTCAAAGACCACCATTCGAGAATGGAACTAATGAGGTAATTTGTTAATTTGTTTATTATTCTAAGTAAATAATATAAATTATCAGTAGTCTCTCCTTAGCTTTGTACTAGGTTTCTTAAGAAAAATGTGAGCCCTTTGTTGTAGGGCTTCTATCAACAAAAGGTGCAATTATTAAATTATAAAGTATACCAGTGTTAATCGTCCTTTCAATGCAGGTATTGAAATCTGATAGTGAAAGAGCTTGTAAGGGGTTGCCTGTACTTAAGGTAGACCTTGATTAACCACACTTACTAAAGACTTCTCCTCCTAATACTCTAGTCAGTACTCTACCTAACGTGTAAGTACCGATTAACGAACTCAAAGTAAGAGGGCTTTTGAATTGATAGTGTGCCCTGGTGAGAATTATAATTTTACCACAGATTCAAAGTTAAACTTAATAAATAAGAATGCTGTACAACTCTTCTGTTAACTAGCTGAGGTGGCAAGCTCAAAATGAGCTCAATGAAGGCACAATTATGGAGCAATCCACATATGAGCAGTCAGGCCGGAAGAACACAGATACAAAGGGCGCCATAGTACATGATTGCGTTAAAACAAAAGTTCAAGCACTCATGTTGCACTACAAGCTTTTCTTCATCTAAACCACACTAGTGCATGGCTTCATTGACACATACAGCATAGTAATTTTACATCAGTTGAAATTCAGTGAATTCGGTTTAAGAATATGGCAAAAGGATGTGGACTTTATCAGGAATCCATCTGTGTTATGGAGTAAAAAACTTTTCGACTGAAATTAGACAACACTGCCGATTATATCTGCAAGGAAATGGGAGTGATTCAGCAAGAAGTGGTATAACAGAGCATCTTGTCAGGACCTATCTTAATTTTTCAACAGACTCATTATTCCAAACTATTTATGAAGTGAAAAGAAGACAGTAAGCTATCGACTTCCTTTTACTGCAGTTATTAATGAGTTGTGTATGCACAAGTCAGAATTATGCACTGAAAAGGAGCTTGTCCGACGCCATTATCCGTATGTTTAATTTTATTCTACATTCATGTCCTTAGAATTTCGTCTTTTAATCTTAAGTTGCAAAACATCATTTCATTCCATTTCCATGGATACATTGATCACACCTTATTTACTGGATGTTAACACTTTCAGTAATTTGCAGTGCAGATGCTGTCAGAAATTAACATAAGCTAGAGATAATTGAAAACCAGAGGGAGGTGTGAATCTGCACTGTTCATCTACGACCCCACCTGTGATCAAAACTGGGCCCCTCAAGTTACGTGAGCATTCAACCGCTTAGGACAGTATTCAACGATCAGCAAGCTTTTTCATTCCATATGTAAGTCCCCAGTTCGATCCATGATGAGCCCGTGGATGCACACTTCTGAAGAGTCACAGACTGCTCTTTGAATTTCATTAGTTCATAATGAATTCTAATTTGTAATAATTCCATGCCCCCTAAAAAATATTATAATCTAAAATCTCAGTAATATTTTCATAACCATTGTTTCGCCGCAAAGGTACACCCACCTTACAAGCAATTTTCCAAGGCATAAGTACACTGAAGAATCTACGCAATAAAATTTACAAAAAATATATTGATCTGCACGTATTGGTTTGTAGGGATTTGGTTGATTGGTTACAGGATTTCATCATGAGCTGACATCGGTTAGAGAACCATTAGAAAACCTGCGAGTACTGGACACCAGTTTCGTCCCAGTTTGGGACTTTTCAGCAGCACCCACTCACTGGGATCCGAACCCAGGACCTTCTGGTCACAAGACCATTACGCCACTGGGACCCGATCCAATGGCCCATGAATTCCAACTTCTGCCAATTCACGATATAGCACAACCGCTAGCCAATGTCTTCGGCAAGTACATGTTCTCACACCCAACCTGCTGCACTCTTCTGGCCACGAAGTTCCACTGGAACCCCAGGTAACTACCTTTCTGAACAGGGCCAGTCGCCATTGGGCATCTCAATGATATTCAAATATTGGTTTGTAGGGATTTGGTTGATTGGTTGATTTTCTTTAAAATACTGATAACGTATGTCAGTAGTTACAAAGAAGCTCAAAGACTAAGTGTATTAAGACTTAATGCCTACTATATTCAATCCACTAACATTAAAAGTAGCATAGATTAACGTCAAACTGCATAGTGTACCTACGATTAGCGACTTTATATCGCACAAAAAAAACGATTTATTACTTTGCATTATGCAAACACCATCCAATTGAAAGAATTACCCAAAAACAAGGACTTATGAGGTGAATAGGTAAAGTTACCTCTTCTAGAATGCTTATTCATTCTAGTGAACAGAGTTTATACATTCATTTGTAAAGCTTTCTATTTAACAATTTGTGTACATATATATGTGTATACGTGTGTATGATTATTAGGTGGAAATATCATACAATGATGTACCTGGACATTTGGTAACACGAATCGAGGCTACAGATAAAGATGTCGGAGTAAATGGAAAGATAAAATTCTCATTTGATCAAAATAATTCAACAAGCGACCTGTTCATTATACGACATAACAGTGGTGAGATTTTTCTACAGAAGGAATTAACTGTTAAAGATATGGTAAGTTAATACTTTCTGTTGTTGCTGTTCTTCTTGTTGTCATAATCATTGTTTATTCAATGTCAAAAGTGTACAGTCAGTTTGTAGTTTTATTTCTGTAGTTATCTAACGAACAAATTTTGACTGTGTCCCACCCACCATATTGTGTGGTTGTGTGTGTTGATGCATGCAGTGCAATCGCTGAGTTGTTTTCTTTTCTCCAAATTACTTATCTTCTTGGGATCAATAATTCTAACCTTAACCAAATTCTGATGTTCTGATAATATCACTACTTCTGACTACTAGTTTGACCTAGTAACTGACCTCACAGTCATTGCGAGGTGTTTTGTAAATTATATTATTTTGTTTAATTGGGTCCACCGGGACAGAGTTGAAATTCTAAAAAGTAATATAGGTAGGTAGAGAAAGAGAGATTGATTACTGACTCCTGGTTCATCGAGTCTACACCCAACACATGCAACAGAAATGACTCAATACAAATACCAGAGATATAGAAGATATCATTGCCACCAGTCGAATTAGAGGAGGATAATAAATGATCTTAAAATTGTATTTCAATTCACATACAGTATAACATTCTAACAAATTACTTATTTTGACTATAAAAACACTCGTCTTATTTCCCATCTGACTGTACTTGATCAATAACACTCGTATTATTATTTCTGAATGTACATTATCTCATATTGATTTTTATTCAAATATCTAGTCGATTCCACACATGTATATAAATGAAGTAAAAAGTTGTGTGAGTAGTGCCTCGATATGATTATGAGCAACAGTTTGTGCTCGAAACGTGGTCATCAGTAAATATTACCTTATGACAACACTGTGTGATTTATTAAAATAAAACCTTATCTATAATGGGGATAAATAACGTTTGAATGAAACTCGAAAGGGATAATTAGACTTTTCTTCTAAAAATCTAGCTGTCAACATATTCAGCGCCTTTTAGGTGTCACTTTTGTTAACAAGAACAGAAACAGCGTAGCTGTTGACAATAGTTTGACATTCTTATTCTACTGAATTTACTGAATTTGTACAAGTTCCTCTGTACAGAGTTTTTCACTGGACACTAGTAACTAGTGTGACGTGTCTAGTCCTTTCTTTGGTGCAGTGAGGTTGGCAATGTAGCGACCATTCTGGGTAGCTTGCCATCACCGTGTACATTGATTTGATGATATTAGATAGTTGAAGGCAATCGGCAGGAGGCCTTAGACCTGGGTTTTGTGCTAGTTGGCACTCGTCAGCAAGGTGCATCTGCAACCTTGAAGGAACTCCTGTCCCTCTTTCTGAGATTCGAACCCGCGTCACCCAGTGATGCAGTCACAGACGTTACCACTGAGCTGTTCAGGCTCAGTGGTGATGACGAGCTACCTAGATTGTTGGCCACATTACAAAAATGACTGATGGAATTCAGTCTGCACCAAAGATAGAACAAGACACGTCACACTAATTACTAGTGTCCAATGGAAATACCCACTACAGGCCTACAGAGGGTCAGTTGTGGGCCTGAATAGCTCAGAGGTAACATCTCTGATTGCAGTACTGACTGAGTGACGCCGGTTCGAATCTCAGAGGGAGAGACAGGACTTCCTTGAAGGTTGCAGATACACCTTGCTGACGAGCGCCATCTCGGACGAAACCTAGGTAGGACGGGGCTTCCTGCCGATTGCCTCCAAATATCTAACAGCAACAGAATTTTTTGCGTATCTTAGGATCAGACACTTAGATCGACTTTTATTAGCAAAAATACTATAGTCCTGCAATGGGTTAGCTATGATGCGGTTAGCATATGTTTGTGTCATCTGATTTTGTAACTTTATTTAAAACAACGGTTCGCAGATCTGCTTTGCAGATACATACCAATAAGCGTGGTTAAGTAGAGCTTTTTGTCATCTGCTCCGTAGCATGCGATGAGCACATTTAATCATAATTCTGAATTTGGTTGGGAAAAACTGTTTATGCATCTTTACTGTGAGTACTTTCTGTCGACATTTAAATATATGAAAAGAAGTATTTTAGAAACGAAAACAGTATTTGCAATTTTATACAATACTGTCATTAACTGAAGTCATCGAAATGAGAAAGAAACATGGATGGTTGAATAAGTGGTCGAAATTATTCCCTAAGAAGGGAAGTAATTCATCACTCAGACTATCTGAAAATGAATAACTTCTTATCAGAAATTAGTCGGTGATCCCTGTCAAATGGTTTCAAACTAAATCCCTTGAAATGTCAGATGTTTAACTTAACTTTCAAGAGAAAACTTGATTTACATGAATTGATTCTTTCCCATGCTTTTAAAGTATCATAGAATGTACTGAAGTTAAAATTAAGTCGAATGTTACAAACTTTGGATCGTTCGTGGTCTTTTCAATTCTTGAAAGACTTTTCGTTTAGTGTTCTACATAAGGAAGTTAAGACAATCCAGTGTAACAACAGAAGACAAGGGCTGGCAACAGATCGTTTTATTACGAAAATCAACACGTATTTATATATATTTTATGTGCATTAATAAGGCTTATGCAAGCAGAAAAAGGCAGTCTTCTGATTGGTTGTTTCTCGGAAGTTAAGCAGACAAACACAGTCTTATGATTGGTTGTTTTCGATATTTCTCGGAAAGTAGAGCCATCTATCTGCGAATCATATTTGTCCACATTTAAGTTTGCTGTGATTGGTTGTTGAAACAGCCTTGTTCATATTTTCTCACGGCCCATATTAGTGACCTAGACATTAACGTAGATTAGTGCCAACCAATCGGCTAGCAGCCTGCTCTCACCACACTCGTCCCCCCGTCAAATAGCTTCGTGCGCAGACGTTCCGACCTTCTGGGTGCTACATCCTCTAGTTGAGGATTGTTACTGACCGGCTTGTCCCACTGTACCCATCTTTGGAGCTGACTGGCGTTAACTCGTTTCTGTTTATCACCTCTTCGGATGGTATATACTTGACCCCGTCTTTTTGTGATTGTGTATGGTCCTTCCCACTTTGGAAGGAGTTTCCGTGAACCTAGCCCGCCTCCAACTGTATATCTCCTGTCTCTACACTTCACTTGGTCCCCGACTGCAAAGGTAATGCACTGCGTCCTTTCTTTCATCTGAGACTTCGTGACATCACTGCGCTGCTTCCGTATTACATTCTTGACTGCCTCTTTCCTCTCTGCTTTTAATTTCGTCGTACTCCACTTTTGGTGCATGGGCCAGGTCTCATTGTGTACCGGTAATCGTGGTTTTCTACCATACATCAGTTGGAAGGGTGACTTCTTCGTTGTTTCCTGAGTGGTAGCCCGATGTGTTAGTAAAATCAGTGGAAGCTCCGTTTCCCAGTTCCCGCCCTTCGAGGCCAGCCACTCCTTCAGTGTACGGTTGTTTCTCTCCGTTAGGCCATTCGTTTGTGGATGGTATGGGGTCGTTCTGATCCTCTTGATGCCCAGCTGTTGCAAACGGGAAGTAAACTCTTCACTCTCGAAACAGGGACCTTGGTCTGTCAGTATTGTCTTCGGTACGCCGTGGTCTGCAACAATGTGTCTAACTACTGCATCTGTCACGGTTCTTGCACGTTGGTCTGGGATTGCTACGGCGTCTACCCATCGTGTCGCGTGTTCCGTCATCACCAAGAGGTACTGATTACCATTGGATGTCTGAGGAAATGGACCCATGACATCTACGGACCACAAGTCACCTATCGCGGTAACTGGAATCGACTGAAGTGGTGGTCGTATATACCGGTCACCTTTCATCAGCTGGCACCGTGGACATCCAAGTACGTATCTTGCTACGTCTTCTCTCATACCTGGCCAGTACATACTTTGTCTTAGGAGGTCGGTCGTTCTGGCCACGCCTGTATGCGCTAGCTGGTGACATTCTTCTATCATGTCGTGGCGCGACGATTGAGGTATGACAGCCAGCCAGCTTCCGTCGTTCTCTCGCCAGGTCAGAGTCCCGTAGGCATTCACTCTGAGTCGATCCCTCTGTCTGAGTAGTGTGGTTAGCTCCTTACTCGCCGTAGTTTGATCCACTTCTATTCCGTTGGTGATCACCTGTATTACTGTATTCAGCGTATCGTCCAACCTCTGCCTACGTGCAAGTCTTAGTGGGTCTTGTTCTACTGCATGCACTCCGTAAGCGACCTCGGGCAACTCAGACTCATCTTCTGGTCTCGATAACAAATCTGCCAAGACATTTTCACTTCCAGGAACGTGTGAGATCGTAAAATCGTACTCCTGAAGACGCAACATCCACCGTGACAACTTCCCCCGTGGGTCTCTCGCTGTCTTCAAAAATTGTAGCGGCTTATGATCAGTTTCGATGTGGAACCGCCGGCCGAGTAAATAAGGTCTCCATTTGTCGACTGCCCATACCATTGCTAAACATTCTTTCTCTATCGTTGAATACTTTCTCTCTGTGAGGGTCAAAACCCTACTGGCATACTCAACGATTCCCTCGTCCTGTCTTAGGACCGCACCTATAGCGTAGTCACTGGCATCTGTGCACACTGTGAACTGTCTTCCTGGCACAGGTAGTTTTAGCGTCATTTGTTGGTGGTCGAGCAGCTGTTTAATTCTGTCGAATGTCCTCTGCGATTCTTCCGACCAAACAAACTTTGGCTCACCTAGTAGCCTGTATAGAGGGGCTGCTATCTCATTGAAGTTCTTCACGAAGCGACTATAAAACGCTGCTCTACCCAAGAATTGTCTCAGTTTTCTCTTTGAATTCGGGGCTGGAATCGTTTTAATCGTCAAAATTTTCTCCGGCAGTGGTTTAATCTCACCATTTCCCACTTTATGTCCCAACAGAGTAACATTCTTTTTGGCTATCTGAGACTTGGTTTTGTTGACGCGTAGTCCAAACTCTTCGATGCGTCGCAGCACGGCTTCTACATGGTTGACGTGATCGTTTTCGTTTTGACTGTATATGACGAGATCATCACCATAAACCTCCACGTTTTTCAAGTTCTTAAGTAATAGCTTCATCAGTCGTCTGAACGTAAACGGTGCA